CAAAACCCCCCCCCCCCCCCCCCCCAAAAAAAAAACTCCTTCGCCCCTCTGCAACATAGATGAACTGGGTGGCAATCACGATTGGATTTATGACGAAACGGGCCTTTGAGAAAGAAGGGCAAGGCCTGTTCAATGGAAGAGCAAAGAGCAAAGAGACGTTTGGACAAAGGCGTCGCCCCGCGAAAGGGGTATAAAGAAAGGACGAGAAGCGGAGTCATGGGTACTTGATGGAGCTTTGAAGATGGAGTTGGTCGATGGACAGTTTATGATTGTAGAGCTCACGAATGGATTCACTACATATGCACAAGAAAATACAACACTTTTGAAACATAATTGTAACATGTCTTGAATTATACGACGACTGGCAACGACTGACGAAGTGATTTGTATATTGTTTGAATAAAAATACCCAGTGAGGAAAAGAAAAAAAAAGAAGAAGCGCTTGTGATGCGACCGATGGCGGGTCTCAGAAAACAACAGTGAATGGAGTAGATGATCGTAATGTTCATAAGCACAGCCGCCTCTAGCGCAGGCAAAACACATCTAGCGCTGTTCAGGAACCCTAATTCTACGCTGTCCCTATCAGGCTTGATTGTCATGACTTAGCGCACTTCCTTGCTGTGCTTGGCAATGAAGATAGTCTGGGGCACCAGAACGGCAACAAAGAAGGCCATGGCAGCCAAGTTCAGGCAAAACATCTTGACGTAGAGAATCAAGAGGCGGCGCCATGAAGTTTTGCTAAAGGTAGTCCACGCGTCAGAGACGGTGGCATAACCCTTGCCGCCAATGACCTCGGGCTCAACCTTGCCCTCGAAGGAGCGGTCAAATGGGATAATGGTGCTCTGCTCGACGGGCAGGAGGGAGGCCTGGACGCGGACGAGAACAACGTAAGCGGGGATGATGACGAAGACGGAGGTGGCAATGGTGACGATGGCCACAATGAGGGACTTGACGACGAAGCCGGGGCCGAGGGCGTCCATGTCCACGGGCTCGTTGAAGCCGCCCCTGGGCATCTTGATGCCGAGAATGAGAGCCATGAGGATGGGGATGAAGCGAGTGACCTCGCTGGCGAACCAGAAGATGGTGACGGCTCTCCAGGTAGCTTCGAAAGTTCGTCGGAAGGGGGGCAGACGGGACCAAAAGGGCAGAGGCGATGGCTCAGAAATGACGATGTGAACCCAGGCGGTGCTGTACTGAACCAGGGTCAGGGAGGCGAGAAGAGTGGCAACGGGGACGAGGTAGCCGCCAAAGGTGCCGGTGAAGATGCCCATGAGAACGGAGGTCAGGAAGACCTGGGCGAGGTAGCAGAAGAAACCGCGAAAGTTGGCCGTGACGCCGCCGTTGGCCATGAGGAGGCGGTTGATGGCGCGGAAGGAAGACGTAACGGTGCGAGGCTGGCCGTTGGCGGGCTTGAAGCCGTTGCGAGCAACGCCCTCTTCGCCGCCGGACACTGACTGATCGAGAGGAACGGGCTCGTACGCGGGTGGGTTTTCATCCTCAACCATGGCAAAGACGGGGTACACCAGCTTGAAGGTGTACTGGAACTGTTGAGAAAATTCAAGTCAGGACACGACGGCCACGTTGGTGCGCGACAGCGATACTGCAAAGCGGTAATGACGGCGCCATGCAGAACCGATCGGTTCAGCTCATGAATTATTCGTAGAATCAACTTACGAGGAGAAACACGGGGATCAGAGCCATGATATCGACGAGCAAGACGAGCAGCGCCCATGAGGGCAGCTCGTAGCCTCTGATATCATCACCACCCTCAAGGGTGCGTTTGACGTGGAACTGCATGGTGGGTGGGACGCCGACCTCGATGCCGGCGGGGAATGGAGGGAAAAAAAAAGGACAAAAGAGACGAAGGAACTGTCGAGATGAACTGCGAACGAGTGCAGGAATGGATTTTCAGCACATGAAATGAAAATAAACGTCGAGAATTATGGCGGAAGCGAAATGGAGGGACATGGGGACTGGCTGTAGCGGGGCGGCGTTGAGCAGCAGCCTTATTATTAATAGCAGCAGCAGTTTGAGAGCAGTTGGCCGCCGAACGCTGGAGCCTGGCTGGCACGAGTACCCGTTCAAGCCTCATTCATCCATGATTGTCCAGTCCACATGCGTGCATACATCCACTCCGGCCGTTTCCCAATCCGTTCTCGATACCTGGAAGCTGGGTGACCGAGGATCGAGGGCCAACGGATTTGAGCAGGCCACTGTTTCGTCGTGCGCCAACTTGTTACAAGTGTGATACGAACAGCTTCGCCTCTCGCCCCGTCGCGGCATAGGTCGATAATCGATGCGGAACAATCGGACAATCAGCCTTTTTTAGGCGGGCCACAACCTAGTAGCGAGTCTGCCAGGTGGCCGAAACAAGCAGCGTGCTGTACTTTATTCTCTCATCGTTTGTTCACTGACTACTTTCCCGGGTCAGGTAGCCGCCAGTTGGTGCCGCAAGTCGGGGCCATACACATTACACGAGACGTGACCAATACTATCAACCACCATGCTCGCGCCAACGGGGTCCTCGCCATTGGGCCATCGTTACCGCCTAGCTTGAGAAAGTGGCAAGGGTCTCTGCCGATGCCGTGGAGAAGACAGATGTGTCCATGTTTTTAATGGCCGATGTCCGCGGCTGCCAGACATTCGTGAAGGATTTTGTCCTCAAGTCCAACATTCCATACCCAGCGTACCGAGGTTTTGACTTGACCAGACAATGGGTGGACTGGGGGTCTATACCCGTACCAATAGTTACTCGAAGAAACCATCTTGGAGCCTGCGTTTGGCTGCTTACGGGCCCCAGGTTTGCGTCTCCCAACGCCCTCTTACCTTTCTTTTCTTTCTTTCTGGAACTTCGCGTCCACTGCCTTTTGCTATTTGAAGATCCTGCTTTTTATAGCATGAGACGAATCGGCCTGTTCAAAATTCGAAATTCTGTTTAGCTGACCGGTCTGGACCAGGTCATACATTTCGATGTTTACCCTTTACCAGCATCATGATGACTCCCTGTGGCCCAAAGGCTCATTGAATACAATGCCTGATCCGGGGATCCAAGAACCCAGCGCATAATGCTTTCATAGTTAACATGGTAGAGACCTAGCCGGGGTCTCGAGGTGAAGGTTTGTTCTCTCTGATTTGCGACACATGACAAAAAATGCCATGGGAAGTCCTCTGCACCCTGTGAAGGGGAGTTCATATTATATGGTCTAGTGTCGGATTCGGGACGCGCATTGCACTCCGGTATGCCGCCCCTCGATCCACCAAGGAGACTCATACTTGATGATTTCTGTTACGTTACAACTGGGTACCCGAAGGGTGACCATTCCCCCTCAACGTTCCGCTTGTTCCAATTTTGAGTGATGAATAAACCGTCTGTCTGCAACTCTTCGCTTTACCACTCTGCATATTGCACCTTTCCTCTTTTCTGTCCCCGCCTGGCGTGGTCGCCGTCCCCAGAGAGTTGCCATCGTGATATCTTCAGAAGATGGCTCAATATGACACTATCGGAACGCAGTACGATGTCATCAAGAAGACACCCTTCAACAAACTCGAGCAGTTCAATTTTCGCAAGCACGTTGAGCCGTTCCTTCAACGCCACGGCACAAAAGTCCTTGACCTAGCATGCGGAACCGGATTCTACTCCAGCCTCCTTCTTGAATGGGGGGCCAGTTTCGTCGTGGGCGTGGACATATCGTCCTCAATGGTAAATGCGGCCAAGGCTCGACTAGCCGAGACACCATACGCGTCTCGAGCTCGATTTGTGCAGGGAAATGGAATCATTCCACAAGGATATAGCTCAGATGATAAAGGATTCGATGTGGTTTCTGGCGCTTGGTTTCTCAACTACGCAAGTAACCCGGATCAGTTGGCATCCATGTTCCGTACCATATCCACGAATCTAAACTCCCACGGAGTCTTTATTGGCATATGTTTGCACCCCACAGATGACTTGGAATCTTTCGCCTCTGGCGTTAACAACAGCGCCTGGGCTCAAACGGGTGTTCATTACGAATTTGGCAAGGCGCTTCCAGGGGGGATTGGCTTTCCAATCACAGTGTTTGGCTCTGTATCGCCAGATAGCAAGGTTGAATTTGGATCATTTTATCTCAAAAAGAGCCTGTACGAACAGGCGGCCCGTGTTGGAGGGATGACGGGCAGAATTGTATGGCGGAATTGCGAGTTTCTGGACGAGACATGGCGAGAGGAGATAGGCCTCCATGGCGACGATGATGGATGGCGCAGCCTACAAGAGTATCCTCTGCTGTGCACTCTTCTTGTTTGGAAGGAATAAGCCGTAGATGCTGGGCGAGATTAGATCAGATAAGAACCTAGGTAATGATGTCAATGCGTAGCTATTGAGGGCTCTGGCAAACCTGTAGAGTATCTGGTCTCTCCTGACTGCCGGTGGTGGGGCGAGCCATCGCTGATCATCGCTGATCAGTGGTCAAAATCTGCCAAGTCAGTGCGAAACTGCCACCACTTGCGCCGCTCCTTCCTTGGAAGACTGTCCATATGCAGAGCTCCAACCGCGTTGGCGGCCCCGAGGAGCTTCTTCGGCCGTGCCTCATCCCAGCTGCTTGTTCAGGCTAAACCAACGTAAATTTCCATCCATATTTACCCCCAGACTGCAATCGTCCATGGCAGATGGCTGCTCCATCCATACCGTATCTCCTTTCCCTAAGGGGCAGCGGTCGCGGCGGAGGCCGTGGAGGCAGGGCAAGACGCCAGGCTGGTCCTTCAGCCTCATCATCCACGGGAGCATCTCCAGATGCCACTATTCAAGGCACAGATACCGATGCAGCCGTGTCACGGCTGAGTGCCGTTGACCTGGGGTACCTGGAAGATCCATATGCGCGGTTCTTTGTGACCGGCCCTCCGACAAGACGGCTGCCCATTATCAATCGAGGTCTGTACTGCGGCTCCGAGAAGACCATCAGCGCAACCCCATATGAACAGATACTGATGGCCGTACAGGCACCTATATGCGAACCAAGTCCCTAGATGCCATGGTAGACGCCTTCCTCTCACACAATGGGCCGTCACTGAAGCAAGTGGTATCTCTTGGCGCAGGAACAGACACAAGGCCACTGCACATGCTGCAAAAGCCTGGCGCCCAAAATCTCATTTATCACGAAGTGGACTTTGAACCTACATGCCGGCGCAAGTTGGCCATCACCCAATCATCCCCCGGACTACGTCACATATTCAAGGACCTAAGTATTCACGACGGCGGATCATGGAGCGCCGAGCCCTCACAAGGCGGCGAGTATCACTGCCACGCCTTAGATCTACGCAGCATATCCAAGTCCATCACAGAGCTACCGTCCCACATTCGCAGCGACGTCCCAACCTTGCTCTTGTCTGAATGCTGCCTCTGCTATCTGACGCAGCAAGACTCTGAAAACGTTTTAAACTTTTTCAGTTCCAAGATTCATAGCCTAGCAGCATTGCTGTATGAACCGATGCCGTTGCACGACGCATTTGGCGACATGATGGTTTCTAATCTCAAAGCTCGACACATTTACATGCCTTCGCTGCAGACATATAAAGACCAGCAAGGGCAACTGACAAGGTTGCGACACTCAGGATTCGACAGTGTTGGGTATGCCACGATTGAGAATACGTGGGATAAGTGGGTTGATGAGAAGGAGAGGGAGAGAGTAGATCGTTTAGAGGGGCTGGACGAAGTCGAAGAATGGAAGCTCCTGGCGGCACATTATGTGGTGGTCTGGGGAGCTAGGGGTGCCACATTTGGTCCCTTGGCCGATAGGAATCAATCCGTCGAAATTTAAGGTGAAAAAAGAGTAAAATAAAAAATCAAAATGGTAAAACCAACCCCAATGCAGTTGTAAATTCGAAGTGGCATCATTTCGGTTTCTTTATTGGAAAGTCAAGAGATGGCGTCGAACTGGTCAACCTTGAACCTTGAACTCGGAAAGCGGGTCACGTGTATCCGTGCGGTGATATCTCACCCGCCAAGTTCGCGACAAACTAAACCTTCTTATAACCTATTGCTAACGACACATAGATCGCTGCGGCCTTGTACACCTTGCTTCAACTAGCAATCCGGCCATCTATTGCTGGGGTATACCCTTTCTTAGTCCTCGTTCTGACCGCTTGCACCGAAGGCAGCTTTGGGTACAAGCCTCACGCTCATTCTCACTCTTACTCTCGCTCTCGGCCGCCGTTCAGTCCAGCGCTCATTGCGCACACGTTTCACCGGCCTCGCATATAATTCAAACACCAAAATCCATCACCAAATTGTGACGCGACCAGGCATTCGTCTTTGAATATCCCACACCCACAGCGGGGTAGACAAGTCGAGCACTTCATCACATCAGTCATCCACCCTTGTTTCCTCGGTAGAAGTTGAGTCGCAAAGATGGCAGACTCCAAGGACAACAAGGCGTACAAATACCGCCAAGAAATCAGCCAGGTACCACATGTCCAAAACATACCACGGCGTTCCAATTTGCCAAAATCTGCGGGGTAAAAAAAAGAAACGGCTAACCCCGGCAGATGATGTACGTCTCTGGCGAAACCGGCGAACCATCAGTCGAAACTACTAGCATCATCGAAGACATTGTCCGCCAACAAGTGATAGAACTGGTAAGCAAAAGCATCGCGCTCACTCCCCCCTTTCCCGCCCAATTTCCAAAATACAACTCACCAGCAACGCCTCTCCCCAGCTCCGCAACTGCACAGAGCTCGCCTCCCGGCGCGGCTCCAAATCCATATCGACAAACGATCTCATTTTCCAAATCCGCCACGACCAAGCCAAGGTCAGCCGCCTCCGCACGTTCCTCTCCTGGAAAGACGTGCGCAAAAACGTCAAGGATTCCGAGGACAAGGGCGCCGACGCGGACCTCGCGGGCGGCGACGACGCCGTCGTCCCCGGCGGCCCCGTCGATGAAGCCGCCAAGAAGAACAAAAAGGCCAAGGTCGGCCTGCCCTGGGAACCGGCGTCGTTCTACTCGGTGGAAGTCCCCGAGCGCGACGACGAGGAGGATGAAGAGGAGGAGGAGATGAATTACATTACTCTCCAGCGACTCCGCAAGGCTGACGAGCGCACAAAGGCCATGACCAAGGAGGAGTACGTCACGTGGTCCGAGTACCGCCAGGCGTCGTTTACATGGAGAAAGGGCAAGCGGTTCAGGGAGTGGGCCGGCTTCGGCATAGTGACGGACAGCAAACCGTCAGACGACATTGTTGACATTTTGGGATTCCTGACGTTCGAGATGGTGGCTACCCTGACGGAGGTGGCGCTCAAGGTCAAGGAGCAGGAGGATATGGCGAGGGCGCAGAGCGGTGCGGACAACGCGGGGACGAAGAAGAGGAAATTGCAGCTTGGGGGACTATTTGATCCGCCGAGTGAGGGCAAGACTCCTGTTGAGCCCAGGCACGTTCAGGAAGCGTTTAGACGGTTCCAGCAGTGGCCCAAGAAGACGAGGGCTATGCTGAATGGCACCAGGATTGTGCAGAAGACACCTCTAAACATCATTTGAGGCTGTTGCGGTTCGCTTCTGGCGACTTGTATTTTTTTCTTCTTTTCGACTGTATTTCTACCTTGGGTGTTGACTAGGGCTTGTTGGCGTTGGTTTGGTCATGACTTTGGTCTGAACGATGTACCACGGAAAAGCATTGCGTTGGCGCCCCAACCTTTTGGACATATCTTGAACACCTATAGATTTTCTTCAAACCATCACGGCAGGAAGCGTGGGATCCGTCTTGATGAATATCGAGAAATGAACTTTTTTGAAATCTTGCTATGCTATGCGCTGTGGCTAACTGTAAATCGTCGCCTCCTTACCACTGTATCGTCTATCATTAATCTCACCCCAACTCGCTGTAGACTCCTTGGTATGACTTCGTCTTCTCCCTCCGAGTCATCGGTTCCATGACCTGGCTCGCCTTCCACTTGACCTAGCCCGAACGGTTGGCTAATGCCTTGTGGCCCCGTTGCGGTTGCCCGTCTTCTGAGCGTCTCCAATTCTATGCCACCCCCCTCACCATCTACTGCACTAGAAGCATGTGACCTTTTGGACAAAACTCTGTCCAAGTCCTCATCTTGTTCAGTCTCCAGTTGTCGAATATACTGCCGATATTGCGGCCGCTCCAGCAAACCGCTTCGGAAGGCATTGACACCAACCAACAACTTTACCAGCTCTACCAGCTCTTCAAGATACTCAATTATCTCCATTTGCCCAGATGTGCTGGCATTCCAAGAAAGAAACTTGTGTTGGGTTATTAGACTTGCGGTCTCCTCATCCAGATTGGGCCTTCGACGGTGGCACGCAACTATGTTTGGTTTCCGTCCCTTTGGACTTTGCGCTACCAAGAGCTCTCGGATACGACTGATGAGCCTTAATTGGGCCAGACGAGCCGATGGAAGGAATTGAGGTAGTGGAAGCCACGTGGTTAGCGCTTCATGCACTGAAAACAGGATCAAAGTGCTACTGGCGGCAACGTTTCTACGGCACGTGTACACTCTCGGGTTCAAGTCCTCCAGGACAGATGAACCATACATTCCGCGGAGCTGGACCACGTTGTCCATGCGATCAATGATCTGGTGTAGGACGTAAATGATTTCCTTGTATATCGGCGCCAATGGCTTGAAACTTCCTTTTAGACGTGGTTCAGTGAGACAAAACGGCAAGAACATCTCAGCTGCTGCTAGTGCCCCTTGGGCTTTGTCGCGAGAACGACTAAAACGCGTCAAAAGCTTTGAAGATCGAAAGTTTGGCCGCTCTGGATCATCGATACCAACAGCTACAGCGGCTTGCATCTTCTGGACTTGGCGAACCGATGTAGATAGGGACTCTACCAAGCGATCTCTGGCTCGCACAGGGACGACGAGGGTTTCAACTACCATAGCTACCAGACCACCGACTAGAAACGCAACAAGTCGCTTGTAGAAGACTTCGGAGGCTGCAGTAGTTTCATTTATCGCAGCTGATATACAGTCAGTTCATTACTCGTATTGCGGGACTTTGTGTTATATTGCTCACCTAAAGCAACAACACTCAGCGACACAATCGATATCATTCCCGCCTTGACATATTTGGTCGCAAGCTGGACATAAACAGACGGAACTATACCAAGAAGAAGAATCACCACAGCAGCAACACGGTTACCTCGTCCAATTTCCACCGAAAGATATCCAACAACGCAACCAAAGATGACACCAAAAAGCCGAACGGCAAAAACGAATAACGAAGTGCCAATGGCAACCTCGAATACAAGAATAAGTTGCAGGGGAGCCCACACACCTTTTACCTCACTGTACCAGGCATTCGTAGAAGCAACAAAAGCTGGCCATGTGACCAAAAATATTGCAATTGCCAGCTTCAATGCGTACTCAACGTCGTCAGACCGCTGTAACCATTCCAAAACGTCTGCTATTGTGGTTCGAAACTGCGCAAAGCGGCCATGCGGGGACTGTTTCCTGTCCCGACGGGTTGGTTTGCTTGACGAGTTTTGTTTGTCCTTAGCCTTGTGGCTACCAGTGATTGCAGAGCATGCTTCCTCATCATTGGGCGGTACTGGAGCCTTGACTCCGTCGCTTGATGGCTCGGCCTTTTCTTCGGAAGATGGACTTTGCAGTCCCTGACGCGCTGCCTTTTTCCCTTCTTTGGGAAGAACCATGGCATCGGCTTCACCGCCGGAGCTTAGCCATTTCCGAATATTCCTATACTGAGGAATCCAGACCCGGAATTTATTATGTCGTCTCTGACTTTTTTCTACAAGAGTTCTAACGTGTCGAAGCATGTGCAGGATCTGAGTTGCCGAGTCGCGAAGCGCAAGGATGAATGAGGACACAAGGAAGGTCTCCATACGTGGCATGAAATCTACTGCAAGCCCGGATTCATCCATAATGGCTTTTTTGAGTGCCTCGGATGATCCTGCATCGAAAGCGGATATGCAAGTCGAGAACTCGTCGAGCCGGGAATCAATCTCTTCCAAGAGTATCCCGTCCGGCGTGGGCGATCCGGAGGGCAGTGTTGGAACTTCAAAACAATAGGCAAGACATGCTATTAGTAGATTTACCGCCTCTTCTATAGAGCTTTGGAAATCTTGTACTGGCAGTCGAATGCGTTGAATGGTCATCTCGAGGAGCTGTGAACTACCTGCTTCAATCTCCCTGACTGGTTTGACAATCTTGAGCTGCTCTTTGTGGCGCGATACTTCCCCTCCATTAGGACTAATCGGCTGGGTTCGTTGTGCTGTCCTTGTTTGAAAGTCTGGTGTTGCCGATTCAGTGCTCTCCTTATAGTCTGGCAAGATGCCAAGATGGTCCTTGTTACCAACAAGCACAAACTTATTCTCGCAATTGCCTATGAGTGTGATGATGTTCTGGACAAGACTTGTCATATAGCGTACACTAATGGGCTTCATGGCGATCGGGGGTAGAGACGAGGTGGAGATCTCAAAATTGACTTCGTCTTGAGCGGCTTTGCAACGGGAGAGCTGTGCACGCAATTTGGACTTTTGCGCTGTGAGAAATGCCACTGTAGTTCGCTGGACAGGCACAGTAGCACTTGTTGTCAGACTTTTGCCCGTATGAAACGGGTTGGGGAACTCTGCGGCAAAGGCTTTAATATGCCTCATGGTCTTTCGTCTTACTCGGTTCATGGTTCTGCTCGTCCTGGCTGTAGAAGTTGTGGCGAGAGCATTTGAGTTGATTTTTGCTGCTTCAGCAGCATCGCAGCCTGGTGTGACGAAGCAGTGAGTCGCTCGTGTCAATGTGTCCACGGTAGTCGACAGAGTCTCAATCGTAGATGAACCAAGGTAACTGCTGGATAGTTCCGGAAAGAGAGCCAAATTAACAAGCACCAAAACGCCACCTGCAAGCAAAATAGGTATATAAATGGTTGTAAATAAAGATGTGGTTGCGTTACTCGGTAGCTGAATCGTAAGCAATGCAGCAACAAGAAGAAACAAAACAAAATTAAAGAGCCGAGGGCTCATAGATCTCACAAAGCCGTGAATCAACACAGCAACCAGAAGAAACAAAGCACGGATAGTGTATGCTGCGGGTGCATTGATATCTTGGACGAGGCTCGACAGGTACAAGCCGAGAAGTGACCATGACAAGCCCATCAGCGCCCCGAAGAGAGTCATGAGCAGTTCCTCCATCATGGGACCCATGCGTTGTCCACAATGGGCAAACACAGTAACCATGGGTATCAAAAATGTCGCAGTGGTTTTGAAGTGAGGAAGGACAGCAATGATGGTCGCAATGGTGCAGGCGAGGGAATGCTTGACGATACGCTGCCACAATGCATTTTTTTGCCAATCGCCCCAAATGGCTATGACCAGGCTCCTGAAAGGATTCGAGGCTGCCATAGTTTGCGAATTTGTGATCCGATTCCCATTGCAGCGGTAATCGTGACCCGACGAGAACGTTCGGAGAGGATTTGAGGTATTGCCGAGACTTGGCACCAAAAATTTGAGACTTCTACCACAACGGAATACGCGGGTCGCCGCAGGCGGATTGGAGCAAGCTCAAATGCAAAAATAAAAAGAGTCTCCTAGTCCTCGCAAAGTATGAGGACTGAAGACGGCTTATATTGTATCATCAATTCAGCCTAGGCATGACGGTTGGGGGCGGATTGACAATGTGAGGTGAAGTCATGACGCTGCGCTAAGACGGCAACTTTGGTCATGAGAAGTCTGGTTGAACTAGTTGACAGCAGTTGACCGTAGTTACCCACACTTGCCGCTGACGATGGAGCCATTTAGACGGAAGGAGCAATTGGGACCGGCAAGAGATGAAGTCCTAGGTACCCAACTAACTGCGCCGATCCAGAGACTTTAAAAAACGGCAGCCCTGTGCTTAAAGTAGGGTATATTTGATGCTGTTACAGCAAAAAGAGATCTGGTACAATATTAAATGAACCAGCAAGTACAATGCCACGAACCAAGCCGGGGTCCCATTGCATGGGTTACACCAAGCTGGCAGGCCACACAGCGGGAGACAGAGAGAGAGAAATTGACCGACAAGTTGCTGCGAGCCAACCTTCTGTGTGCTATAGAACTACTAGACAGCTACCTGGGTGGGTAGATAACTACCAACTTACGCCACCATAGACTTGATTCACTTAATTGATTTAATTGGCCTATTATATCCAGGAGTGATTGCGGAAATGCGCTCCTCAGACCTGCTCTTCACCAGCGCCCCGCCAGGCGACCGCCCCCCCCCCCCCCCCCCCCAACCCCCCCCCCCCCCCCCCCCCCCCCCCC